AACTCAACTCTTCCTCTCACTCGACCCGACGTCCTTCTCATTCCAGACGAGTCTCGATAGACCGCGAGCCAAGCAAGCAATCACAATCGCCTGGCAAATTTGCTTCCCCACGGCCCGCTACGAGCAACACCGTTGCCTCTGCTCTCGGCGCCTCGCACTATCACACACTCCCGCGCCCAACTACTGCCTCGAGACCTCCCCTCTCCCGTTACCAGCGACCGCCTATGCCACAAACACAGTCGACTCCCCCTCCTCTGGCCATCAGCAGGAACTCTTCGTTTGTGAGGCAGACCGACTCTCCGGCCATTATCCCCGAGTCTAGAGACTCAATCTCTTCCAATGGATCTTGGATAAGGCGTCTCTCCATTCGCCCACTGTCTCGTCACGAAAGCACAAGGTCCAGTATAGGTCCTGACGCGCCTTCCATCTTTTCCCACGGTTCAGCTGCACCCATCTTGCGCAATCCTACAACAGCAACGCTCCCCCCAAACAAGCTCGTTAAGCGATCTACCTCAACCCGCATCGATCCAGATCCTCTACCGCGACGGCGTGCGAAATCTCACTTACAGATCCTACCTGTTCTTCGCAGACCTGCTACGAGCCATCAGAGGTCTGCAACACTACAACAATTTCGACCCGATTCAGCGTTGAATACACCAACCGATTCGAACAATTTCTCGTTTGACGACCCATCACGACCCCACGAGTTCCTCGCCCCATCCCCGCTTGAGCCCCCCTCCAGATCGACATCTGCAAGGAGCGGATGGAAGTCGTACTTTCACTCTAAAAGATTAAGTATAAGCGGACGCACAGTGTCGGGTAGGTTTGGTGAGCTGAGTCCACATGCTCGAGCAATCTCCTCGAGACGCATCTGCATTGAGAACGACGAGCGCAACAGAGTTCACCTGGTGAAACCAAGAATGGTTTCAGCGGCATCTGCCCCTCGAGGTCTACTGCCAGCTGCACAAATCCAACCAGAAACTTGCACCGATCAATCTCCTGCAGAAGAAAAAACTCCATCTCCTGAGGGAACTCCCTCTAGGACGCCCCGCAAGTCGATCTCAATGCCATTTGCATCTGCAGGAAACTGGGCGGTAAGGACGACAGGGAGCATCCGGCGTGCTAAGCGTGGTGCTGAATCCGGGATCGGGAATAAGCGATATGTGTCGGAACCGCTGACTGGCGCGCAATCTGGCGCTGAACCTCGAACCAATCCGCCGCTGGAATCAACCCTCCGCGCACCATCACCATTATCGGCCCGGCAGGGGTTGTTCCTGGGTTCAGCTGCTACTGTGCAGTTAAAAGGTCGTAAAAGGAATTCATCGTCACCAATCCCCACGGTTCCAAGACTTGGAAACTTCAATGTGGATTCGTCCCGGTTAGGGTCTTCTGCTGGGGTTTCCACTCACCAGGTTCGGCCTAACCAACCCTCCGGAAGTTCTACCAGCTCCACTGCGATGTCACAACTTAGGGCACCGCAGCACGACAGGACCTCCACCATGGAGAGCTCTGAAGGTGACACCCGGGATTGCACATCAGGGGACGACGATGACACGGATTTCAAGAGTGATACCATGTTTGACTCGCTGCGCACTGTTGGCTCCGGTCGTGCCCGTGCTGTTGAGACCCCATTGGAGTCCATGTATGACGAGTCACCACCAAGCACCGCCAGCAATGGTACAAAGACGAAGCGTCTCTCAATCCACGAGATCCTCGGCCGGACATGGGATGAGGATGACAAGATCATGGAGGAGGACGAGAATGTATCCACACCTGTCCGCACAGTCAAGCGATCTGAAGCATCACCACGCTTTAGGCTTGAGTCAAGATTTAACCCATCGCCCTACGATGTCTTAACCACTACGACCAAGGAGTACAGCAGGCTGTCCTTGGACGACGAATTTGACGATGATTGGGCTAGGGATGATGAGTTTCCCTGTAACCCCTTATCACCTCCCTCCAAAGGGAGCTCACTGAATTCCAGAGGAATTAACCCTAATGTTCGCCTCGCCCTCGCCAATATTAGTGGTAATGGCCTTCCTGATACGAACGGTCACGATGCTACTAACGACCGCCCACTTAGCACTCTCTTCGACTGGAGCGAGCCCCCGACACACGACAAATTTGATACTGGACGGAGTTTGCGACCAAAGACTGCTTATGCTAAGGAGATGGACTCTAGAGGTGGTCGCTCCGCCATACGCAAAGGTCCAACCCCAACTCATGTTCGAAGCCAGAGTGTCCCCGTGGTTCATGATGCCCCCGAAGATTCCAAGACTACTGGATCCAAGTATGGCACATGGGGCATGGGCACCAAGACAGTCAGCGAGGACTGGGATGACGATTTCGAATTTGGTGCTGGTCCCGTCGGTAGTAACGACAAGAGTGACAAAATCTTTGCAGTACCAGAATCGATTCGTGCGACACAACCAAGTGTCAAGGCACATTCCGGCCATATTCGAGAATTCTCGCTTCTTGTCAATGATTTAAAACGTCTGTGCCGTCATGGGCGAGATATGGATATGCTTGAAGGATCTCAGAGGCATCTCTGGAAGGAGGCTGACGGTATTATTGCTCTGGCATCCCCCGATGAAGAGTCGTTGGACGAGAACGATGATCAAAAGTCAACTTCATCTATCAACTTCGATGCATTCGATATTGACGAAACGTTCGGAGACGAGGGCTTTGATGCCCATTCTATGAATCGCCTCGATGCCGCCTTTGATGGTCACGAGCCCGCTATGTCCAAAACCACTGTTGTTCGAGAACGTCACTCTCCCCGGCGAAGATCTGTCTTCTCTCCAGAAGACGATATCTTCGGTAATTGGCCTTTGAATGACAACCCACCTTCCAATAGACCCAGTCGCCCTCGAACACCTGAGAACAAGTACAACAAGGCTCATGACGTATCGGGGGTCGTCCGTTCTGTCATCGGGGCTATGCAACATCGTGCTCCCGAGCAAGCACCTGACAACGGTAAGGTCCACTTCGATACAAATAGCCTCAAGGCTCTGGTCAAGAGAGCCGGGGATTTACGAGATACTCTGTCCGACATTGTTCGACAGGCCGATCAGATTACGCACAGTCCAATGAGAACACCCAGGCATGAGCGCCAGCATGACTCGAGCCCTGCCTTTACACGGGTCTTTGACGACCCCGGTTCGAGCCCTCCTAGAAGAGTGACACGAAGCCGCGGAAACAATTCACTTAGGGAAGCCGCATCATCCGAAAACTCGCCATCTTCTGGCCTACCACAACGGATGCAGATGATGACTGTCAGCTGATGAGTCAGCGTCCTGGCGCTCTGTTTACCTGAGCGTGTATAAAACAATGATTACATGAGAATTTATTTGCATAGCGGTGGCCATTCAGACTCGGGTTTATTCACATACTTTCAAGGCTGGGAACTAGTTTCATGGACGATCGGTCTCACACCCCGATATGAGCTCTTCCGACCGACTTGATTCATCTGGATTCTTCTCGCCTATACATATGCTTTCAAGACGAAAATTTGTCCGTGTCCCCGCTTCTCGTGAGCCGCATTGCCCACTGAAGCTAGATCCTAGGCCGGATGGACTCTTGTACGAGGCAGAGCGCACTCGCCATACCATGAGCACAGCTCTTAATGACTTTTTATAAGTAATACGGTAGACGGAACACGAAACGTTGCGGCGCCTATGCCGGTACTCGTTCGCGCGAGTATAGTTTACGAAGTGTCGTTTTTTTTAACGAATTTTCTTGCGTTGTCCCTTTGTGTTTATGAGGAAACGTAATGTTTCGTTTGTTATTCATTTTCTTCTTTCTTTCTGCTGTTCTATTCTTGCGGCCCCGAGGCACGCTGTAATGCTTTGATGATTACTCAAACGAAAAGGAAAAACGAGCAGAGGTGGTGCGAAACAACCTTTCACTCGAGAGAATTTACGTCCCTTCGCTCGAGACAACAGACAGAACAGCTGCTGTCTACAGAAGCTGCCTTTGAAAGGAGGAAATACCAAGCTGGACATACACGGATCAACAGTCATGAGGAAGGCAAAAAGAAGAGAATCACGAAGGGGACGCTGGCCATGGGGCTGTTTGGGATATACAGGTTCGGATAGGAAAAGAGCATACGGAGAAAAGGAGAGACGATTGAGTAAAGGCTACGTGTAGCTGCTTTATTTTTTATTTTTGACGGTTTGGGAGATGTTGCATCGAGGACGGCGTATAGTTTTCCAGCTCCAGCCTGTTGTTATGATGCATTCACGCATGGATAGAGAGGTTATAACGGACATGACGATTTACTGCCTATATTCTGGTAGTCTCAATTTTGGTCAGCCTTGGTCTATGTGATGTTTTGTGTGTGTCAAAGTACCGTGGTGGGTGGCTCAGAAGAACCGTGTTGCAGAATCATGCCACAGGTGATGATACAAGTCGTCGTGAGGGCATGTTCCTTTAGATCAGCCTAAACACAAATTTCTTCTTTTGAGGACATAATGGCATGATAGAATGGAGTCTTCCGGTAGCTGTGACATACGAAAGAATTACAAGTTGAGGTATATAAGCACAAGGTTCAGGAGGCCAGTAAATATATCGAGTCATTTATTGGTATATTGATCGATTTATCATTCGAGTTCGAATGCTTCAGCTACTTTTCTGAGGCTCAGGTTGACTGCGCCGTGTTGTTTGCTATTCATACAGCAGGCGTGGACAAATGCACGCCATGAGACAAAGAAAACCCACCCGCGATGTAGATACTTATCGCGTCCAACGCCAAACGGTTAAAACCAAATGCTAAGGCCAAGACCCAATCAAGTCAAGCACGCTCCTATTTCCTCCAACTGGCTGTTACTGCGGTTCAAATAGTAACATCATCCGCTATGAAAGCAAGGTATAAAGCAATTTCATGCTATAGTTTCGCAAAATCATGTCCGAGAAATCTGATGATCGTAACGTCATGTCACAAAGGCCGACCCCAACCTAGCGGGGGTTGTCGTTGTTGCTCTTTTCCATGCAGGGTTCCGCTACCACAGCTGCACGAATGACAATCCCTTTCTAAGAGACTTGTCAATCCATGAACCGTCGTCCCTAGCCCCAGGAGCAGGAGACTGTGCGCGAACCCACAGTCCCTGTGCACTGAAGTCGCGGGGAGTCTCGCTGGCGCCCGGGAGAAAGGCGGACGAGGACGAGCCAGGGTAGAGGGGCATCGGGGGGCGGGCCTTTTGAAGGCGACCACGCTGAGAAGTGCCAGATGCAATATGCTGCTTATCGAATTCGCTGAGTGTGGGCGTCAATTCGAGGAAGCGAGAAGTAGATGGCTTCCAAAGCTCATCTGAAGCGATAACAGGCTCGCCAATGTCAGCGCCAGGCTTGGACCAGAGCTGATAGTTGTCGGAGTCGGGTGCGCAAGGATCCTCGGTGTCCAGCTCTAGGGCCTTTCCAGATCCAAGTCTAATGGCCTCGTCCAAGGCAGCGAGCCACTCAGCGGGTGTAGCGGCGGGTCGGGACATCTCTGACTTGATGGAGGAAGCCCTGGTGAGTGCGGGCACGTCAGAAACGACGGACTCGCTATCAGTGAAAGACACAACCGAGGCAGTTCTCGGTCGGACTGTGGAGACAGCAAGCCAATTGATCTCGGTAACATCCTGGCTAGATGAGCGCACAGACCAGAGGCTATCTGTGTTGAGCTTCGGCAGAGACTGCTGCGAGATGCGCTGCTTGGGTCGGGTCTCGAGCGCTGCGGGGCTCTCGGACGTAGTACGGAAGTTGTTTCGGCGGTGATTCAGGCTGAATAGGCCCTCCAAAACCAACGAATCAATCTCCCGCTGCAACTGAACGGCGGCGGCATTGGCCTTGGAATCCCAGAGAGGGGCCATGTTCCAGAGGTGGGTAAATCCAAAATCGGGGAAGGCCTCTAGAGCTCTTCGTGGTGAGCGTTCCATGCCCTGAGCAGCAGGCGCCAATTTCGTTGTGCGGTAGTCGGTGCGCCGGTGGCTGAGGTTAAACAGGCCGGTCGGCTCTTCATCATCAACTGAAGTAGTAGCGGGAAGAGGCTCCCACAAGCCAAAATTGACCGCCGAGGCCTCGCTAGGTGTAGAGGGTTCGGAGCCGGTGACCGAAGGTGCGGAGCTTGATCCGCTCCAGAGACCATCCTCGGAAACGATCTCGGAAATAACGGGCATGGCAGGAGTCCACAAGGAGGTGCTATCTATAGGTAGAGACTCGGCCTCTCTAGGCTTTACTCGGGCAGCATCGTCTTCGACAACGAGATAGGTTGCCCAGGTTTCAGCATCAGGCTGGGGAAGACCGTATGAGATCTTGGTGTTGACTGGCGATTGAGTCCACATGCCTGGCAGCGGTTGTGTGGTTCCCCAAAGTCCGAAGTTGTTGACAGGTGCCTTCTTGACAGGTGCGGTCCAGAGCGAGTTGCTTTTGATGGAAGGCATGTCGGCCTTTGCAGAGAGGAGGCGTGCAGCCTCACCAGTGGGAATATAAGAGTTCCAGGTAGAGTCGTCGGGTTGAGGGAGTCCTTTGTTGGGACGTGAGACAGGGATGCTAGGAGTCCACAGAGCCATGGAAATGTTCGGATAGTTTGTAATTGTTTGCTGAAGGGAAGACTGAGCGGGAATTGATGGAGGATACAACAAGTTAATAACCAAGATTTGTCGCCGGTGTGTCGGGGATTCGGATTTGTAAATGACGAGCGGACTTAGCGGCTGCGGAGTCGGAGAGTCACAATCAAGCTCAAGGTCGGCCGGCTTAGAAATGGAATCCTCTAAGAAACGGAACAGAAGCGTTGCCTGCTGTTGCTGGTGAGGATGCCCTGCGCCTGGGGCGCCACGGGACTTAGACTCCCTGTCAGTGCAGGGGTCTAAGATGGATTTGGACGTCGCATGAGTGCCATTGTCGTCGGTGATTGGTGCGCCAGCCCAATCTTGTTCATTTCGACCCACGTCCATCAATAAGCAGCGAGCCATCAGCGGCACAGGCATGCTTATTGATGCAACTCGACCCCCAAATTGCGGCTGCTGGCGGACCCTGATTCGATTTTTCTCAGAGACGTGCTCCCGGAGATCCATATCCGTCATCGTCATCGCCATGGTGGTTGTTGAGGTGGGGGGAGCACCAACTGCTGTACCGGCTTTTGCGCTGTAATCTCCAGCCTGTGGGCTTTCGCTCTCGCTGTCGGCGTCTCCATCTTCGTCATACTCTACCTGGGTCTGTGTACGGAGACTTGTCCGATCATTGGTTTTGTCATCTCTGCCGCTGTCGTGCATCTGCATCTGCACATCCTTGGCATAAGCATCCTCGGAAGTCTCGCAATGTTTCAAAAGCTCCGGATCTGTGCCTCGTCTACAGAGAAAAATAATCAGCCTCATTTCTCACAATACCCAGGCCAGCCCAGATCATTGTGGCCAATTTTTACTTACTCATCAATTGACCGAGGTTTTAGTTCGTCCTCGTGAGAAGTTGATATTTTTTCAGGCGGGGCTCCGTGGAAATACGTGTCCGTTGGCTGGGGTACAGGCTGGGCCAGTTCGAAACAGTCCTCATCGTCGCTATCGTACGTTTCGCTCGAATCGTAGTACTCCCCGTCATCCTGCTCGTAGTCCTCCATGTCAAACACCGAGCCGCTATGCTGCATCTGCGTCTGCATACCCCCATCCACCACAGGTTGATAAGCCATGCCAGGCATGAACATCGGTGTTATTGTCGCACAGTCTGACCGATCACCCCATGGGAATTGGAAGATCCCAAGTGTCCCGCGCCTATCAGGGAGTGGTTTTGGACTCTCCAGGATATCTGGCAGCATAGTGACACGTTTGATGCGACGCGGGGGGTTGCGGGGAGGTTTTGACTGCTGGACCTTAACTTCCACCACTTGGGTTACAACTTGAGATGCTGGCTGCCAAAGTCCGTGACTGGATACCTCAGTCTTTGATTCTGGTTTCTCCCAAAGTCTTGAGCTCTCAATCATGAGAGATCTCATGTCCTTCCTCACCGGTCCTCGAATTGACCTCCCTGGGATTTCCACTGGCGCGATTTCCCCCAGTGGCCTGGGAGCAGGGGTCCAGAGTGATGGTGCAGTGCTAGTGCTGGTAACCGCTTGCACGGAAGCTATGGGGCGCCACAGCACCATGGCCGTCTTGGCAGGACTGACCTGGGCATGGCCAATGAAATCCTCGTGATCTTCGGCGTATTCGCTCTCTTCATCGGTATCAGGAGGGGTAGGAGTTGCTAATGAGTTCGTAAACCTGGGGTATGTCGAGCTAGCCGCCAATTTTGTCCTCGACTTCAAGTCGGCCTGAGGGAAAAGCGCAAGAATGTCGTAGTCTGCATCCAGCTGACCTCGCTGCTGGGCAAGCTTTGACAGGCGTGCACTTCCATACCCATATCGCGAATCTCGGCTAGGAGATGTTCCCACAGTTGATAGCGAATCACGAACGTGCATGGTATGGCGAATGGTTTGCCATTGGTGTTCCTGTTCGTTCAGCTCCAGTTCCAGATTTGTCAACAGTGCAAGTCTATCGTTTTCCGCTATCTGATAAGATGAGCCTGGAGAACCAAAATCTTATCCACTGTTAGCGATTGCGCAATAGCAAATTCAGGTGAACTTACGGGTCCTGTCTGGCAAAATTCCCACATCTTCTTCAGAAAGGTCGGATTCCACGGGCGATGGCTCCGCGTAGAAACTGTCGGTCCGGCGGAAAACCAGCGGTGCTGGCGGAAGACTCCGACGAGGCTTTGTCGTGTATCCCCTGTCTGAGAAAGTTGCTGGACGGGTTTCCCCCACTTGTGATGGCCAGAAATGTTGTTTTGCGGTGAGGTGAGAGTCCTCGGCTCGTCGCAATTCCGATTCAGAGCCGACATTAGCTGCGGCAGATGGCTTGCGCACAGTCAAGGGTAAGGGCTCCCGAGAACTCTCGTCGCTCGATGCTGATAGAGTCTCCGCAACTCGGAGTCCGCTCTGTTGTTGATGTTTTGCCATAACGGTCACCGTCAGGGCCCTCTGCACGTGGACCTGCATCGCAGGCGACCTGATATCCGCGTCAAGAGCAAAATCTTCATCTCTCACCGTGGAAGGCGTGAGTGCGCTCAGGTCTTCAACTGGCAGAATAGGCGAGGATCGTCGACCGTATCCCTTTCCATGCGGGCCACGCCAAGATAAGCTTGTCGCAGATACTGGCTCATTATCAAGTTGAGCAGTCGTAGGCTGAGGACTCTTGGGAAATTGAATCGACGTCTCACCTAAAATAAGGCTTGCTGGCGTCTTGTTGGGAGCGGTCAGGGTATTTGACTTGTCGATCTGTGGCTTGGCTTCGTTGCGGTTCGGCTTGAACTCGATATCAGCTGGTAAGATCGGTAGCTCAACCATAGATCGTGATCGTCGCCTCGTGATACGGTCGCTTTCAGTTGGTGTTGGGATGTTGGCGTGTAGAACATTGGCAAATTCATTTAAACGAGATAAATCGTAATTGATTTCTGCTGGTGTGTCGTGCGGCTGTTTGAATCTCACAGAACCACACGACAACGATCGCTTGTGATGCTGGAGGTTTGGAGACCCCTCTGCTGGGAAGAGGGCGCGATCGATGTTCGACTTTCTTGGTATCGGGCGAGGACGATGAACCACCGACAGTGTTTTTGCAGAGTCTTCTCTCTTGGCCAGAATTTCGTTCGCGTTGCTTCTGGGAATAGCGGCCAAAGGTGCTGATTTCGGGGGCTGGTTCCGCATTGGCTGGTAAGGGCGCGGTACTCTTGCGTCTACAGGCAAAGAGAAGTTCACGATGGCTTCCCCTCCAGCTTTGGTGGGAGTGCGTGCTTGCAACGTGGTGGGAGCCGTCCGAGGAAAGATTGAAAGAGCTGGCGATGGCAACTGTCGAGGAGACTGTCGAGGGGATCGTCGTCGGATTTCATCTGTCCCCGGTGACAAGAAAGCTGAAGTAGTGGCGGAGGCTGTATTCTCTGAAGACAAAGAGCTGTGTTGAGACTCGGCTAGTTTGACGGTGTCGGCCCAGTCCTCTTGACTGGAAGCTGAGGTCCTAGAATCAGAGCTGGATCCGGAGCTAGATGTGCTCAAATTTGCCTGGTGCAATGTCTGTCGAGAGCTTTCGGGTTTCGTCGAGCCTGTTAAAGCCTGAGTTCTTGGTAGAGGGAAAAGTTGGCCTAGCACGGGAACACCACCCATTCCAATGTTGGCTTGCCCAGCAGCTGGCATCGTGATCAAAGGTAGCTCTCGTTTGGGTTCTGCAGGAACTGGCCAAGGTTTCGATACTCCCGTGAAATCAGCTGCAGACGTTCTCGCTATCTCGTCATAACTCCTTGAGCGACGGATATCCGCACTGGTCATCTGTCGTGTGTTGAAGTCTCGCGAGGCATCGAAATCGTTGACGTCCGCTGGTTGTATGTGCTTTAAGTTGTCGGAAAATAGTCGATCTTGGAACAAAGTGAGTATGCCTACCTAGTCAGCTTAATTCATGAACAGATACTTGAGAGCAAACCTACCGATTAGTATCAGCAGGCCTATCGAAGGAACAGTTGTTCGAACAACAATGGACATGGGCTGAATGCTCAGCATCAAAGGAGCACTAGTCTAATAATAGTCAGTTATGATTGTGCTCATCTATCGGTCGTCTATACTTACTCCTGTCCATGTTATCAAACCCAGCACGACGAGAGCAGCCGCTCGGGACTGACGAGGACTGATGGCTCCTCTTTGGGTGTCCGAATAGACACCCCGAGAGATAACTCGGATTAAGAGGAAAGCCACGAAGGCAGTGTCGACAACAGACACAGTAATCCCAACCGGCAGAATGGATGTTTGAGTCAAACAGATAGTGTTCAGCTGTGGGCGCTGAATCCCTACGAAGACTCCTCCAAGAATAAGTCGTAAGACAATAAATCCTTGCATGACACCTATCTCAGTGAGAGACGCAAGACTGTGGGTGCTGAAGATCCATAATAGACTCTGTTGTATGGACACTCGTGCGAACTGATCGAATGTCGATGCAAAGGTAACCATGATCTGACAGCCTGGCATAGAGTTGATATTAAGTAAGAAGGCGAAGAAATCGATTTGAGCCCACAGGGCTGAAGAAATAAGGAACGCGATGAGGGCCAGCCTCGGAGCATCTCGAATGATTTTGGAAGAACGATTATTTAGAAGAAGAAAGGCACCGGCTATACCAGCATGGGCGACCAGGCCACTGTTCTCTGGTTATTTGATCAGTTCGTACGGCGGTGGTAGGGGATGACTTACAAAGTAAAGGCCGCAACCAGGGCCTGACGGTGATTGTTCGTCATGAAAGCGACATTAGTATTAGAACGAGTGTAACGAAGAGTAGCTGAGGCTAGGAAAGTGAAAGGAAACGAATGAGATGATCTTGGATCAACCAAGACGCATACTACTGCACGTAGTTCAGCGGTATGTGCGATTAGAAGAGAATAATGGCGAAAAAGGGAAAGGAGAGGTGGAACGAAATGCGATGCAACGATGGGAAAGGAAAGTCACCAGAGCCGTCAACAGATGGGGACAATACTTTGAAGGCAGAGTTGCACTTGCAACACTGGGTATATCATGCTGGGTTTCAGCCGAAGGTCTTGGGTCAAACTGGCTCTGTTCGAGCTCACTCGCGTAGTCGCTTGTTTGTGGCGCACAATCAGACATGATTGGGTAGAATAGAGATATCACGGTGTTTCGTCAAGGCCCAATGTAGCATCTTCCGTTATGAAACTGGAGTTGTCGGAGATGGCGGCTGTTAGGGCAACACTGAGACGAGGCTCCAGACTGGACTCGGCGCTTGACACAAGCCGGTCCACTGTTGAACTATAACAGGCATATACGATAGCATACTGATGCTATCCATAGCATAGCATAGTTAGGTATGAATAAGAGAGGCTAGGAGGGAGCCTGGTGGACTATAACCGCGAGATTTGAGTTAATCCATGGGTCAGACTTATTCGGAAACGGCTTCCAAGTTGGGGACGACACCGGTTTGTTGAAACATGGCGAAGGAGTTTGTTTGACAGTGACTTTGACTTTGGCCGGGAGATGGACGCATCAAATAAAACACTTCTTTAACTAATGTCATGGCTAACAAAAGTAAGAAAAGAGAAGAGAAATAACGCTCATCCTCTCGCGTTCAAATGAATTAACATGACATCCCATTACCCGTTCGGACAGTGACCGAGACATGATATGGCGGGGCAAAGGGAGGCCTGCTGTTGGTTGACCAAGTCGCCGCCCAAGGCATGGCACAGCTTGCAGGGTGACAGACACCCTGGACTATGGCGCATTCTTGTGTAGAAGGAAGAGGGAAGAGACGAGAATGAGGCTATTGCCGGTGATACCTTATAGTTGTAGTGTAGTAGTGATTATGGAAAGCGAAAGAGTTGGAGACGGAGAAATAAATGGGCATCAATACTTGTCTATATTCTCTTCCTCAGTGGAGTCTCACTCTTTTTCAACCCGAACACGCCCGAATGACGACAAGGAAGAGAGAGGGGCCTTGGGCCTTTCTTTCCCGAACTGGACTAAAACACGGGCACTTGGATGCAGCCCGTTGCTACCCTACGAACTTCCCCGGATTTCTTGTAATAACCTTACCCAGCTGCTAACAACCTAAAGTCTGTGTGGTCAACTCGATACCAATTGTCCAGCGTTTGGTAACCAGATGTCGACTTGGGAAGATGGGTACAAGTCTTCTTACTGTTGCATGTGTTTATTGTAAGATTTATTATCACCAGATCGATTCAAGAACGGCCATCAATCAGGCCGTTAAAGCACAACTGATCTGCAGTAATTGGTCACCCAACCATTGCCAGCCACCAGTCCCAAGTGTTGAATAGGTTTTGGGTTATAGAACAACGTTGAGTGCAAATTTACATAACAGTGAAATTGGACAATATACATGTTAATGCCATGATGCCAATCAACCATCACTAAACCTTCAAAACCTCTGGGGTCCAAGCGCTTTCATGCTGGGATAGATGACAAGTTACCTAAGGTACCTTAGCTAACAATATTGATGTATAGGGTAGGCATAGCGTAATGAATAAATTACAGACTGAACCTTGACTGTTCCTTGGCTGAATGTCAGGTCGAGTGTGTGACAAAAGCTGCATTATAATACCCAGAAAGAGACAAGCCAGCCCGTCTCCGTTGTCCTTCCTATACCGTCCACGGCCACGGCCGGTCCTCCCGGTCGCCTGTAAAGAGTCACAACCGGGCCGGTAGATCAGCCTTGGTCTGATATCGGCAACTTCAGCCTCAAACTCTACAGATCAGTTAGTCATTCATCCCGCAGCCGCCAAATATTACTCCATCTGTTTAGAATTCTCATGACACATCCTATCAAAACCTATGCATAGCCAAGACTGATTCCAAATAAAAAGCTAGTCATCAGCTGTCAAACTGGGGACTTGTAAGACCCCCCCATACGCGAATGCAGCTACCGGCGGCATGCGGCACGCGGCATAGAATTACTACATTCAGGTTCATAATCTGTGACTCGCCAATTGAATTCTACGCAATGGTCAGATGCCACTGTTAGCCGCACCACCATAACCCCCTGCTAGCCAGATATGGCTGGATATCTTGAAAGTATACTGTCATGGCAGTGACATCGAAAGGCGCGCAACTGCTCTACATTAGCTGGTATTTTTCTCACAAAGTACAATCCAAATTGCTCGGACAAATGTACCGAATAATTAATTGACATGATACCCTATCTCGGCTCCGATACGACGACTCACATCTGTTTGGTTGTGGGATCTGGAATGATGTATGAGTAACACGATATCGAAGTATAAGAGGCAGAGAAACCACCACAATACAGGCATCACTAATTACAACCAAACTCACTACTATCTTCCACAGCATCGACATTAACACCAATCACAATGGGTCGGTTCGATCTCGAATATCCCAAAGAGGCCATCAACACCGTCAAACGTGAAAACGATCGCGGTGTTTATGCCCTAAAGACAATTCACCACATCATCAACACTTGCCAGATCCTTCATGTCTCTTTCAACACACCCACCCAATCATTCCCCGTCATCCTCCCAATGATCGGCCAGATGGGCTCATTTGACCGTCCCAGCGCAGACATTGGTGACCCTCTGGACCTCTATCTCCACGGATATGTGTCAAGCCGCATCATGAACTTGGGCCGCAGCGCCAGTGACGAGAAGGGCATGCCCGTTTGTGTGGCTGCATCCCATGTTGATGGGCTGGTTTTGGCTTTGTCTACCTTCCACCATAGCTACAACTATCGCTCTGCGGTACTCTTCGGTCATGCGGTCCTCGTAGAGGACGAGGAGGAGAGGATGTATGCCATGGAGCTCATCACCAATAGTGTGGTGCCGGATCGTTGGCGACACACCCGTCTCCCGCCGACCAAAGCTGAGCTCCAATCCACGGGTATACTCAAGGTCAAGATCGCATCGGGAAGTGCCAAAATCAACACCGGTGGTCCCAGTGACGACAAAAAAGACATGGAGGACGAGTCGATCAGGGATCAAGTCTGGACAGGCGTCTTGCCTATTCACGCAACCATGGGTGAACCAGTGCCTGGCCCTTACAATAGGGTTGGCGTGCCAGACCACATTGCTGAATTCTTCAAGGACTTCAATGAGGACAATCAGCACTATGCGTTGAATGCCGCAAGGGACCCCAAAAAGTAGGCTGATATAGTGGTCAATGCAAATGTCTATTATATGATACATCCAACAACATGTTATACCTCAACAGGCATCCAAGTAGAAATATACACAATGATACGAAATATGTGCAATCAGAACATATCCAACATAGCTATGTGTCTACCATTGCTCCCAGATCATTCCAGGTAGCACAGATCGCATGATCTTCCAGTGTCCAGCAGCGCTGTCCTGATGCCACTTGGTAACCTTGCTTGTTTCGTTCTTGTTGAGGACATCAGTAGCCTCATCTTCAAGGAAGACCTGCTCCTTGATCTCATACTTGGGCAGTAGCAAAGCCTGACGGACTTGGCTTCGGAGAAAGTCCTTTTGCTTGGGATTGCGGAAGGTGACCTCTCCGGGCGTCTTGCGGCAGAAGATGACCATGTTGGTGAAGTCGCTTCCCCACTTCTCAACGTTGGCCTCGTCTCGTGGACTCTCACGGAAGATACGGCAGGAGGGGAAAACCTTCTTGATGGTGCGGTAGATGAGCTGAGGTGTAGGAAGACCAAAGTCACCAGCATAGTTCTAAGGGTAAAGTTAGTACATGGCTCAAGCTGATATTCACTTTACTTACAATAGCAATGACTCCATCATCCTTCAGCAAGTCTCCCAATCCTTGGAGGAACTCGAGGGTGAAGAGGCCAACAGGCTCTGCACCGCCAGTGAACACATCGTGAACAATGTAGTCATAGGTCTTGGATTGCTTCACCAAGTCAGCCGTATAAGAGACAGCATCGGCAACAGCAGCAGGTTTGTTCTCCCGAAGATCAAAATATTTTTGAGCGAACTCATAAACTACTGGATCGATCTCAACCACGGTAGTGTCAATGCCATGAGAAACAAAGGCAGAAGGGGTAGTCCCAATACCAAGGCCACTGTGCAATGTTAGAGAGTTATGGTGAAGGACAAGAACGAGCACTTACATGACAAGGGCGCTAGCTTCGCTGTCAGGCAGGGTAGCCTCCCGCTCAACAAGGCGGACAGCTTCGAGCATGACGAAAACACCGTAAATCGGCTCGGACACTCTTCGACCATTGAGCTGAACCCACTGACCTCCAAGAAGACTATGATCACAGCGCATTACACGATAACCTCTCTCCAGACTCTCGATGACTGACACATAGCCAGTCAACGACTCGCGGCGCTCCAACAGTGTCCAATTCTGGGCTGTCAAGGTGCTGTTAAGAGCATCGGTGGCCATGGGTGTCATGACGTGGGTGTTCAAGACCGCTGTGTGCAACAGCCCAGGAATAGCCAAGACGAGATACTTAGATGGTGCCATGATAGCATAGACAACCCCCAAGACAAGTTCAATACCAACACGGGTAAAGACAAAGGTGCTTCCAATAGCACCCTGGAGCTTCTCCATGGACTGGTTCTCAGCCAGTCTAAACAGACCCCAAGAGACAATGCCAGGCGCCGCATCTGCAACGAATTTAGGCAGTGCGCTCAGGTCAGCATCCTCAAGAACATCGGCCACGGAGGCTGCCGAAACGATGGCCAGGGGGAACAAGGTGAAACCCTCGATGATGAGAGGACCCCACCAAGAGCCAAGACGGTCAGTGAAGGTCCCGAGAAGAAACTGGATAGCCGGGATATTAAGGGCGATGACTGGGAGAAGCTGAGAAGTCGACATAGGAAGAACCATGCGGAGCATCAGATTGCCGGCCCAACCAATAAAGCAAGCCGCCTTGAGCGCAGTTGTATGCGTGACAGCAGAAGGGATGGACCCAAAGATAGGGGACAGGTTGAGCTGCGACGCGCTCGACGCGACACCCAACAAGCCAAGGAGCAAAAGAGTCTGCAAGTAAACAAGCGCTTGACCCATGAACCGCTTCGCAAAAGTATCTTCCTGGGCCTTGGTCGCAAGTTCCTTGAGTTCCTTTTCAAACCGTTCCGGCGTGAAGCCCTCAGGCGCGCCAGTCGCCTTGCCGTCCTTTTTGGGAGCCATTATGAGATACGATGGCAATTGATAGACAAGAATGTACAAGAAATGCAAATCAAGATATGAATCAAGAAGGAAAATAGACAAGAACGGTCTGACCCGGCGGTTCAAATGGCCTGCACTTGAAGCTCGTTGACAGTTGGTTCGTTGGTTACAGATGAAATCAAGCTCAATTAAAATAAGGTTGACGTGGCGGGAAACCATTTTCTGTATTTGGATTCTTTGTGGCTGGTGCAGTGGCTCAATTTAAGTGTGGGGCAACGTTTACTCGTGTGGATGCTTCAACAACAGTATAGCTACAATTCTTCTTATACACATAATTAACTTCAGTCTATTTAATTTACAGTTATATCTATACACTCGTACTCAACGCCTTGTCTACAATCTCACATCATGGTGGTATCTATCCAAACATTCAACATCTTGCATGCACAATGCGACATGAACAACTCAGATAGAGGCTGTCACGGCTACAATTACCTTGCGAAGCATATTTGTATGGTTGTTATAGTCTCCGACATGAGATGAGATGAGATGAGGCGAGGCGAGGCGATATAACACCCTCTAAAGCCAAAGCATGAGATTCAACGTAACTCAACTACTAGTGCTGCCATTCCTCGTATTATGCGTAATTCATAAAAGTCCAATCCAATCTAAATGATCATGCACACCTTGCTTTATGCAACTTTGGGTTCTCAATGCTCGTATCCCCAGTATAATGCGCCCTCATGCTATTCCGTCATGGCCCGAGCCCCTCCAGAGGGACCCCGAACCCCAAGGTATCATTCATCAAACCAAGCCCAAATGATCAGAAAGAAAAATAACCATGATAAGGCCCATAAGGATGACAATATACCCATGCCAGCTCCTCAGCCCCTACCAAATCGCAATGCAGCAACGACAGAAACGCCTGAATGATGCAAGCCGTGGCAGTATGTTCCATAACAACACCTCTGATCGTTCCTCGATCGAGGTAGTTGTCTGAATCTTGGAACCCCCCTCTTTTAAGTGTATCTTGTTCCCGCATCCCCCCCAATCCCTACATCCGTGTAGGATAGTCTTCCATGTCGTCGTCACTGCTGTCTATCTCCTCCTCTTCTTCCTCGTCATCCGTCCGTGGACTATACATGGCACTCATTTCTGGCGCACTTGGCCTGCTGCCCAAGCTGTCAAGAATACCACCACTGAAAATGGGTGGCGCGGAAACCGAAAGATCTGCATGACTTCCATTCCTACTCATGGAGGGTTTTTCGGGAAGCTGCTTGAGCAACCCTGTGGAAATATCCAACATTGTCATTGCAAACTCAGTCAAACCCTTGCCTTCCCCTGGTTTGGAGCTAACTGACAGAGTCCATCTATACTCTCCCAAACGTCTTCGATACCAATCCGCTTCCTCGCGCCCAGGTGATGTTGCCCAAAGGAGAGATCCAAATGTACCAATCAATGCAAAGTTAGTCTTGGAAGCGAAGTACCAAAACGAGCGCAAATGGTTGGGTCCAAGTCTGTTGACAAAGTCCATGGCAGAGATGAGGCGTGCTTTGGCGGCACTGCGACAGATGTGCTGCACGTACGAGTCGACAGAGCTAGACGGAGAAGCCAGGGATCGGATAATTCGTCGATGGAGCGTAATTTCGGCCGCAAAGTATGCCAGATGGAGATATCCAATACTCGACAACCTGCTTGATGAAGGGTTAAGGGAGGAGTATGAAGAGTCGAGGCGAATTAATTGTGGTAGACCTCCATACCACTCTTTCAATTTGAGCTGAATGGGTTTCGCAAGCGACAGAACGAGCTGCGTTCCTTGTTTACCTGCATTTGCAACCGTGTTCATGGCTTGGAGAGTATAGAACGTGTCCAGAATTTCAGAGAGTATTTCCGAAAGTTGTACTACTCGTGTAAACAACACCCTTCCCTTCTCAATATCGAGTTTCTCCTCCGGGTCGTTCTCGTCCCATTCGACGTCAGGGAAATCATTTGCTGTTAGAGGCTGAACACCCCAGTTAGTAGCAAAAATGTGTGATGGCCGCCCGTGAACGAGGGCACCCCATTTGTCCTGCATGTAAAGTGCCCAAGCCAATCGTTTTCTCAGGCCCTTCTCCCACGGTGGTATTTTCCAACCAGTACAATCCAGGTGCAACCCCAATTCATGACCGAGTGCGACAAGTTGGGCGGTAGGGGCCCACTGGTCACCCTCGGGCCTCTGGGAAAGAAGTAGACCGGCTTGAATAGTCGAAAGCTTGGGTCGAAAAGTGGCTTCATCAAGAGTTGTACGGACGATGCTCTCAAGCTCTCTAACATTGGGTCGTGGCAAGCCAGCTAGTTCCTCACTCTGATCCCACCAATTGATTGCAAGGATGTATACAGCTGCTAGTAATGGTGGTGAGAATTCTCGGTAAGATCTTTCATACTTTTCCATGAAGACATGTTTTTGGATGATAGGAAATCCTGGGTGCACGACTCGAAAGTATATGTCGATGAGACGTCTGCCATGGGGAGCCACGATGGATTCGACATGATCGGCGTCTTGCGTCACATGTTCGTGTCCTGGGGTGCTGGAGTCAGGAAGCATCAAGAAAGTATCGTGTTCGCTGACTTTGCGAAGAGTGCCTCTTGATAGTAGACTTTCGTCATGGGGATCAAAGGAGGAGAGGTTGATGAGTGAAGGTTCAAAATCTGTCGTAGGGCCAATGTACTGGCTGTAGCGGTCATCCTGGAGGCCGAGCGTACGTTTAAGCATGGTCGGGCCGCCAACATTGGCCATCTCCTCCAGGAACGAGCTGCTAGCGGCGGTGCTGGAAAGGCTGGAGTTATGGTTTCGTCGCCTAGATGCGAGACCCGGTGAACTGTACGAGGCCAATCATATGTCAGACAAAGGCATGCAAGGAGGAACACGAGTAAGGTGAAAGGTTATCAGAGAAAGGGAAAGAGTGTAGAAGGAAACGATAGACGCATGGGAAAGGCACGGGGACCGGTGGAGCATTCAAGCCAGGATGAGTGTGGAGGGCTAGGCGGCATGAATATGGAGAAGAATATGGATATGGAGAATGAGATGGAGATATCGGAATTGATCTGACCTTCTTTTCCCGATAATATCATCACTAGCCTCGCCGTGAAGCTTCCTTTTGCGGGACTGAGGGCTGGATGAAAGGGAACATTCGGAGCCCGCAGCTTGGCACTGGATGCAGCAGTCGTCGTCGTCGTTAAGGATGCAGTTGACGCGAGAGTACCGACATGATAGACAGGGTGGGATGGAGGAGGCGTTGAAGGATGAACCCTCAACAGGTGCAGAGCTGGCGACTCCGTGACCCATCTCGAGCCTATGGAAGCTGTCCTGGCGATAAGCAGATGGTTCTGGCCGAGGAGGTTTAGGAGCAATGGCGATAGGCGCCGTCCTCTGGACCGGGGCTGAAGACTGGGGAGACATGGTGGGAGAAGTTACGGATAGATCCAGAACAATGTATGGAACCTCGATACCGCCGCAAGTCTGTCCGCCTGCCTGCCTGCCTGCCTGCCTGCCTGCTATCAGCAGAGCAAAACACCAACAAACAGAGGGTGTGTTGCTGTCAGGGCACAACCTAGGGCTTGAATTGTGCTACACCAGAATACCTTACAGGCGCCCGTTGCCCTGCAATAAACGGGCGCAAGAAGGTTGAGCCTCAGTGGCTCTTTGAGTTGTCAGCCTCCCGTCTCGGGGGTACAATGCAGCCCGGTCAATGCCAGTGCAGCAAGATTTCCGATATGGGTGGTGGTGACGATAGAGAGATACTGTAGGTAGTTTTTTTTGGGATGCGATAAAGCCCCACGGGGTCGACAGTGACGCAATGCGGCTAGAGCTACGACCACTGAGAAGCGAGATGATAGGTAACGATAGCTAATAGAACCACGTTATCCAAATCGAGTTGATTGAGTTGATTAGAGTCACACACACGACACGAGTCAATGGTTGGTGTGAGATAAGAATCTGGGGAAACGGAAGGACGGGATGTGATGGGAGGCGAGGTGATGCAAGGAAGAATGAGAAGAAGGAGAAGGGAAGAAGATAAGAAAATGCCCGAGCGAGCGAGCAAACAAAGTGTGTAAGTGGTTGGCGAAGGAAGACGGGAACCAGCGCGAGCGAGGGCAAAGAGTGGGATCCAAGATGCTGGGATCCAATGTCAGGGACTTGCTGGGATGATTGGGGATGGCGGGCGCAGATGGGCGCCGATGGAGTCGAGTCGGTCGACGGCGTAGAAGTGACAGCGACAGAAACAGAAACAGACCAGGGGTGTTTTTTCTCTCTTTCGGTTGGTTTAGTTATCTGATAAGGCTTCTGCAAGCGGGGAGAGGGTATTGACTAAGAGAACGATAATCAGGTTGAGAAATACCGTACTCGGTCCTTATTGTTGAGTCAATTCTCCTCTCTTTTCCCTCCTCTCGCCCTTGACTTGACTTGCCTGGCCTTGCTTTTAGGCAGACTTGCCATGCGGTCCTCTCCTCGTCTCCCCTCTCTGCAACCAAGATTGGATGTATATAAGGGATGTACCTAGGTTGCAGATGCGATAGCCCGGAGATTGCACGGCGATGATGTGGTGCGACACAACAAGCGAAAGCCTGGACGGACAGGACAGAGAGCACTTTCAAGTGTGCAGTGCTGTGCTGTTCAGATCGTGGGCGATGGCGATAACAGGTCGGCACCAAAGAAGCAATGCAAATTGAATGACAAGTTGCTTGCCTTGGTACGCCCGTTGTGAGCTGTCAGCTGTGCTCTGGCTGGCTGATTTGGTGCTCACACAACCAAAATGTCTTGACTCTTGCAGGCGGGGGATCAAAGCCTGGGGAACCGGGGAGTAGAGTAGACTGTGTTTGGCTGGAATGCAGATGCAGATGCAGGGCCAGGGTAGCGTCCTGAATCTCAACGAAGTTACCCTCTGCTGTGACCTGATTCGATCCAGTACCGGCTTCTCTTCTTGGAGAAGAAATGATCCGGAGAAGCTGTGTGTAACAACCAACTGATACTGATAACAACA